TGTACATTAACAAGCAGTAAAAGAAGAAGGCAGAGAGGGATAAGACGCAATGACACAGAGCCGACTTGATCCAGGAGCCTTAACTGTTTACTGCTGGGGCTTCCCCGTAAATCTCACTGGCCTCTGCCTCAGAGAACTGGGTCAAAACAACCCCTGGATTTGCATCATTCTGAAGGCTCAGCTAAGTGGCATTTACTGGAAAACTATCTCATCGGAGCTGATTTATTTTTTGGTGCACGTTTTAAAAAACATACATGGAATGATTTTTTAAAATTCAGCCGGAGTGAATTATGATGCTCAGGTTTTTGGAAAGAGCGTTCTTGTAAAAATAAATAATAGAAATCAGCCTCACCACGAGCTGCACCAGTTGTGCCGTGCCCCCTGATCATCCGGGATCAGCGAAATGTCTTTATGCCCCTGACGTGTTTTTCAGACATTTCAGAGATGTTATCACAGCTCTTCGGAATTTTCTCTTCTCTAGGAAATATTTCCCTACCTCTAAAGCCCATTTAGGAGCATCGGTCCCGGCGGCATCTCTTGGGCTTGTGCTCTTATTTCTCACGCAGCCTAGAACTAGACCCAGTCCTTTCTGAAGCTGTTTTTGAAAATAATACATGAGTAACATATATTTATTGAAAAATTAGAAAACACAGGTAAGTGTATTTTTAAAAGTTGCCGGGAAAGAAAAAGAAGGTCTTTGACAGATCTGCCTCCATCCTCTGTGGAAGCGGAGTGTGTTGGTCTGAAAGCTGAGCTGTTTTCAGGAATTCACCCTGTGCTCCCCAGCCATGGCCGTGGCGTCTGATCACACCAAGTATTTTCCTGAACATGCATTTGTAGCATCTTCGGAATCAAGTTTGAGTAGACAATTAAAAAAAAAAAAACAAGAAGAAGAAGAGGAAAGAAGAAAAGAAAAGACACCCCCCCCCAAAGCCAACTCTGATTCTTCTTTCTTTGACAGAGCTTTGGTCCTCAAAGGGGCTCAGGACCCGTCCCACATAGCCTGGAAAAGAAGGCAGGAGTGAAGCAGAAGACAATTAGAGGATGAGAGAAAGAGGGAAGACAGTGTGACAGGCCCAGCGCTCCTGTCCCAGAACGGAGACAAAATCACCAGGCAATAACATTTCCCTTCCAGGAAAATTAATGCAGAATCGCTTCTTTCCATTGTTTCTGAGTCTTGTGTGTTTTTTGTTCCTTTTGGCCATTTGGATGTTTTTATTATTCTTTAAAAATTTTCCTTGCACGGTTATTTGAAAACGCCCCGAGGAAGTAGTGATGTGTCTAGATGGCCCTGTGAAAGCAACCCAGGTGGATTAACTGAGCAGGCTGTGGGATCAGACACAGCTGCTTTTTTGGTATAAACACCTCAAGAGAAAAACCCACAGATGAAAGCAGGGCTCCAGGGCGGCTGCCCGTCTTCTTCCGATACATCAGAGGCCAGCACCTCTCGGCTGGACCCGCCTGACAGTCCAGGGACGCCAGGGAGCACTGACGCATGTCTTGATTGGTCTCTCTCCCTGGTCCCCAAACCTTCCTGAGATGAAATTCCAGCGTGGTAGTGACACTGATGTCTGCCTGAAGTCATTTCCCTTTTAGGGTCTCATGCTCCCCTGAAATAAGATTAGATCTGCTCCTCCTCCCCTGAGGTCCCTGGGACCCCGGAGAAGGCAGGAATAAAAAGTCAGGCCAAGATGAGGAAATGCTGCTTCATTATCTCTGGAAGTTCCGTGCAAGTCACAAAGCTGGAAAGAAATCACAGTGCTGAGCGTCTGTGTCTTTAGATTTTATCACAGGCTGATGATCATCCTGCTGATGGCTTAGGACTTGCTGGAGGACCTGACACGGGTGGTGGGACACTGTCTTTGTCATCATCAGCAAGATGGGAGCTGCACACTAATTCAAAAAATAAATAGATAGGGTTCTTGCTGATGAAAAGTGAAAACCCCACAGAGGAGGCTGTTTCTGACTGTCCCTCAGGCTCTTGCTCTGTGGTCTTAGCTTTGTTTGCTGTAAGTATGTTTCACATTCTTTATTTCTGATTAGCGTCCCAGGATCAACATGGGAAACTCACTCCCTCGCCAAAAGGTAAACAGGAGACGTTTACCATGACAGAAGCCATCACATTATCATCCCTTCTCCTTGGTGAGTCTGTGGGTAGAATTTAAAGGCTGAAACAGCATTTGGAAATGTAAATGCCAGGCCTAGGCTTTGCAAGGTTGATCGGTGTCATCAGTACACGGACAAAACTATTTCTTTACAGATGTTTCCATGAATTTCCTTTAGAAGTAGAAAGATTTACATTCATCTTCTTCATGGGCAGTGAAAAAAAAATGAATTTGACAACTACAAGAAAAGTCTCTTCCCCGCTACAGGAGCTTTTGGGACCCAAGCAGAGTCTCACTCTCATCTTCGTGCATTATTTCAGGTGTTCAACATCTGCCATTGGGATCACTTTAAAAACGAGTTTCCTGGACCCCAGAGTTACTATCCAACTGCTATAGCCAGAGAAACCTTCCTAAGGCCTGGTATAGCAGATACGATGTGTGCAAAACCCCCAGCGACACCTCATACAGCATAGACAGGAAATCTCCACTGCTTAAGATCCAGGCATTGTTTTTCCTGATCTCCAAATTCATTGCAGATTTTGAAAGAAAGAAAAGTCAGCCTTTCAAAGAAAGGATACCTTGTCATCTGAGACAATGTAAAGGAGCCTGGAAGACACTAAAATAAGTCAAGCTCAGGAAGACAAAGAGGTAATCTCGCTTCCAGGCGGAATCTGGAAAAGTCAACGCACGGAAGCTGAGACGGAGAGTGGTGCCGGGGCCGGGGCGGGAGAGGGGGCACCTCTGTTCTAGGGCAAAAGCACCAGTGAGCAAGAAGCCATGTAACACAGCCATGGCGCATCCTGGCTGCCATTGCTAACAAGAATCTAAGATAGATACACTTGGACGTTACTTTAAAAATAGGTCTTAAGTGTTGTCACCCTAAAACAATAAGCATTTGGGGGAAGCAAACTTTAATCAGCTTGGTTTAGCCACTCCACGGTGTACACATGTATGAAAATGGTGCAGTGGCCACCATACATCCATGTAAGTTTTATTAATCAATTTAAAAAGATAAAGTGTAGAAGCCAAGCAGTGCAAGCACCTGGCATTGGGGCTTGAACCCAGGGCCTCACACCTGCTAGAACAACATTCTACCACTGAGCTACCTCACCACACCCTCTGGTGGGGGTTACACACGGCACACGGATGCAACACAATCTTGTATAACTACAAGAGCTCATGGTGAGTGTGTTTCAGTCCAAAATACGTGACTGAATTTAAAAAAATCTCCAAAGCGTTATCTGCACACAGCAAAGCCCCAGCTTAGGAAATCACTCTATTTCTATAGTCACAGGGTTTTGTAAGACTGTTTATGACATTCAGGTTTGGGTGGTATGCTTACGTTGCTTTATGAGATTCCTTTTTCTTTGGTGTTAGTCCTGTTTGCCTTTGCAGCTCTAGTGGGGGAACACAGGGCCTTACACAGGCGGGGCCAGGGCTCTACCACTGATCCCCATCCCCAACCCTCATTCTTCGTCTTTCTGTTTTTCCTCACTCGGTACACATCACACATGAAATAAAATGACTTTTTAAAGGAACGTCAAACGTACCAGTTGCCTTCATTGAATGAGGTTATTTTGCATTTTCTAAATATCTTGCCATCAAAATTTTGCAGAGTAAAGTGCATCGTGAAGGGCAAAAATCACACTAAAATTAGAATTTAAAGTCAATAAGCACAAGTGACCTTCCTTTTTTTGAAAGTTGAGTATATTCGTTGGTCCGCGTCAGGTCTGCTCGACAACCACAGGCGTCACGGGGAGTCTGATACGCAGGATACATTTTGGTTCCCTTCCTTCTGCCTTTCTTCCCCTCCTTCTTTACAAATCTCTGTTTCCATTTCTTCCTGCTATTCTCATTTTTTCCCTTTCCCCTTCCTCGTTCCCCTTCCTATATGAACCTTTTCTTCCTGTTTCCCAGCATCTATTATACATCCTGGTCCTGATTTCCGCTTTCGGTTTCTGACTTGTTTTACGTAAGGCCGCAGGTGCATGACAAGTGACTTTTCAATCGCATGACAGCTTTAGGAAGTACAGGAGAAGCCAGCAGCACGTGCCCCGCCCGGCCCAGGGGACTCAGAGAGACTGGAGGGGCGGCAGGGCCTGCGGAGGTACCTGGGCCTCCCCTCACTTGCAGGAACCACTGGAACTGAAATAAAAATAAAATAAAATAAATCGATCTCCGTAAGAGTAAAACCGGCTGCTTTTCATTCATTTGCGACTCCTGATGGTCTCCGGCCCCGCCCTCCCAGCCGTGGCCCCCCGAGCTCCGCAGGCGCGGGCTGCCCTCTGGTGGCCGCTTCAGAGACTGCAGCCTCTCCCCCAGACCTGAGTCTCGGAACAGAACACAGACCCTATTGATGGGCCAGGCCAGCGCTGGGCCTTCTGCGGTTATTTTTAATGAACTTTTTAAAGAGGTCATTTGCGCCAGGGTGTGCACAGCCGGAACGGCGTTCTCAATGGCCCTCTGTCTGCGGTCTGTGGCTGTTGGAAATCCGGGGGCACCTGAGGGTGGGCGTTTGCAGCAGCGGGCTGGAAGGTTTCCCAGCCTGGCCCAGCGCACACAGGCGCCCTGTGTGTTAGGCCAACAGAGGGACATTATTAGACGCCTTGGGCCTGCCCGGCATGGGATCCTGGTCACTGGAGACCCTGTTCAAACATGCAGACGCGTGAGGATAGTCTTCTAATATGCTGTGCCAGCTTTGGGGGAAAAGCTACGATGAATCCAACCGGCCTTAACTCATTTTATTTTTTATTTTTTTAAGCATAAAGACACATCATGTTTAAGAATCAGTCAAGAACAAACTCTGAATTTTCAAACACATTAACAATGACTTTGCCTAATCCTTACCCCTTTTGTCTTAATCATTTATCTGAGAAGAGGCCTGAGACGAGGTCATTCACTTATTTTTTTAATATTTTATTTAAAGAAATAAAACAAAACCGTAAAAGGGTACAAGTAATACAGAATTTCAAAAAAATAGTAAGAAATCACTAGTTAATAGATTACATATTGTCATCTTATAAATAGTTGTTCAAGTTACAAAATTAAAGCATGCAAAGTGGACATTCAAACAGTGAGACTACAAACAGTTCTGTTCAATGATCCAACAAAAACTTTGGATCATTGTCATCTATCTTACACACCTAAAAACACTAGCAGTTGTATCCTTTAGAGCACTTTCTTTTCCTCTCTTTTTTACAGTAACAATTACACATTTTGGGTTTTATTACTCCCACAGTTCTTATTATTTTTGTTTTAGAAGAGAATAAAACCAAATGTGACAAAACAAAGCAGAGTCAGTCAAAACAAAGGATGGACATAATACATGATGTAAAAACAGAATACAAGGTTATCAACAATGGTTACCAGAATGCCTCTAGCTTGCTATCTTAAAAAGAACTGCCTATATCATCAGGTATAATAAACAAAACAGGACAGAACAAAACCAATAAAACCTAAACATTGCAGACATTACAGGACTTCAAAAGAAGATGATAGTCAAACCAGAATGGGCATCATAGTGAATTTTATTGCCTTCAAAGTAGTTGCCTATACCCTCAAACTTAACTCATGTTATGTGATGCACGATTAGGAATCTGCTCACACCAGCTGCCCGCCAGCAGTGACAGAGGAAAAGCCTCTAAGGAGTGAGTTTTTCTCAATGTGTCTGCATCGCCCACCCAGTCTCTTACCTCGATTCTGGGGAACCGTGTTCTCACCTGGCCGAGACACTGCGCTATCACACCCCGCTTCCTCTGCACGTCTCCCCTGGCGCTGTACCTCTCTGGTCATCTTCCCCTTTCTTTCTGTTTATGATTCCTGTTGGTAGCTTCCTCTTCCTGTGTAAGCATGAAACCCCTTAAACTCCAACAGCAACCAAAGAAAATAATGAAACGATGTTCACTACAGAGCTCTCCTCAGATCCTGTGGCTATAAACTTTCAAAGTGACATGTATGGTTCCGCCTTTGTCTGAGGTGGATGACTGAACTCAGACCTGAGATCTCTACTAGACTGAGACAACGACCCTGTCCACAGTGAGCTGTGTCCAGTCCGCGGGGCCATGAGCCTTGTTGGAGGTGAACGTAGCAGGAGAGCGTGGCGAGCTGAGCATGAAGATTAAAACTGTCTGCAGGTGGAGAAGACGGGGGACTGTGACGGCGATCTCAGCCGGGGTGGACTTAGGGCCAAGCCCTGGAAATACACACGTGCTTTCAGCAACTTCCTGAGGACAGCAGAAAAGACATTAAATTAAATTAAAGTAAATTAAATTAAGACAGAGCATGCTTGCTAGGGCAGGGCTCAACCATGAAAGAACCACAAGGACCGCAGCCCTGAGAACCAACACAGTGGCACAATTACCAGCAAAATCAGCAAACAGCGGAATAGCAGCCTGACCGGCCTCCCGTGGGTCGCACGTTCTTGTGTCCAGTGCTGTGCGCAGGTCCTGCTGACGTGGCATTTCAGGAACTGTGTGAAAGAAAGCTGAGGAATCCGCCTGCCCAAAGGTCCCCCCAGAAAGTGAACGCATGATGCGTAACAGTGAACACTTTAAAAATCAAAATCCTTTGCAGGGCATGGTCTGCCTCCTGCTGGCAGACCCGGCTCACCAGCTTCCACAGCTGGTCACACTCTGGGCTCCAGCTTTGCGCCCTGAGGTCCCCGCCCTGCAGGCCGCCTTGCCCCTCACCACAGTGCAGCCCCGCATGGCTGCCTTTCACTGCCTGCTGCCCACCCTGCTCCTGCCAGCCGCTGTGCTCTCCTCCTCCGGACTTCCCCGCGGGCACTGCTGTTTGAGAGCCCCGTTCTCTGATCTTCTTGGGAAGACTTAATCTCATCTGTATCTTTGAATGCAGCAGACCTACATAGATGGCGGTCACTAAATGTCCATGGTAGGTGTTTTAATTTCCTCCTCTCACAGTTCTGTACAACTGTCTTTTACTGATGTTCTCCTAGTGCAAGGTCGAACCCAGCATGTCCTGTGTCCTTGAACCAGACACATAGCCAGACCGAGTGCAGTAGTGTGTCCTGTTGAGTAGGGTGCAGGCTCTGATTCCTGGTCTTCTATCATGGCTTCAGCACAGAAGAGTTTGGGACCACATAAGAGTTGTGATCACTTAAGAATTGCTGGTGTTTCCTTCTGTGAAGTGGGAAAAATAATACTTATTATTATACACATATTAGATTTGTCTTAAGAATTCAATGAGAGAATACTTACATGTGGCTCAGTTTACTCAGTGTTCATAGTAATTCACACAGGCAGAGTCTATTATTATCTGCATTTTATATCTCAAGGAAAGTGAAGTTGTCAAAGTCAGCACTGCTGGTCGTAAACTGGCTTAGATAATAGGGTGAACCAGTTTGACATCAATAGCAGTGGGCACACCTGTGGATTCTGATAGGGCGTGGAGAGAGGATCCCCAGTTTCTCCGAGGCATCCTAGATTGGACTTTCTCCTGGAGGACACTGTGTGCACTTCAGTCACTGTGTTAGATAACAATTTGGTCGTCTCATGATTTCCTGATTTAAGGACATGTGCACTGGCCAAGTATTTATATATCTCATTTTGTTTTGCAGATAACTCCAGGAGGTCTATGATGTGACTTGCTGGGCAAAATTAAAGATGACAAACTAGCCTGAGTTAAAATTGAGCAAGGATAACTAAGGGAAGTTCGTAAAGACTGGATGTCAGAGAGATCACAAAGGCCACTCACCAGACTCCAGGGAGCCACACCTCCATGTCAGTGTGAGCCAGAACTAACTTTCTGGAAGCGACCACCAAAGGGGAAAAGGCAGCAATTAAACAGGTGACAGTGTTGTTAGATACAGACCACATGGATTCGTAAGTGGAATTTTAAGTACTTTTGGCCTAAGTGTACAAGAATAACCTCAGACTCTTGACTGCAAATACTCCAGGTGAAAGTTAATTTTCTCGGTGACAAGTGCCTCTATTTTTCGTTTCCCTCGGGCCTGCTCTGGGCCCACGTTTGCACACACAGAGCAACACCAAAGCCAGCCGGGAGTGAGGAAGAACAGCCTGAATTCTGGCCCGATTGCCTAGCTGTGATGCCTAATCCAACATCACTGTCCCCACGAAAAATTTTAAACAAGAGAAAACTCCAGAAGAGAAATTCCTAGAATATATTCTATGAAATACAAATATACAGTTGATTGCCATGGTCGTATTTCTTGTGACGACCTTTAAAAATTAAGAATTTAGAGGCCAGGAGTATAGGGCCAAGGATATAGTTCAGTGGCACAGCACTTGCCTGGCAAGTACAAAGTCCTGAGTTCGATTTCTGGCGCTAAAACCAAAAACAAAGCAGAATTTACAGATATTCAGGATGCATAGCACAGAAAAACCACGGGAGCAGGAGAAGGGAGTATTCCTTCAGATCTCCCATAATTGGCAAACCTAACTTGAACCAGCGTCTGACTTTGGGAGTAACAGAGCCACACCTGAAATTTAATGGGACATCTTCTAAGGATATACCTAAGTTCAGCAGGGAGATGGTGCTGCATATCTAAGAAAAAGTTACTGATCTCATGCATGTCAGATGCGGGAGAAATCAAGGACCAGCTAAATTCTTATTTCTAAGTGAAATAAGAACACTTAGAATGTTATTTGTCCTAAAGCAGAATGAGACCAGGCATGGCGGCACACACCTGTCATCCGGCACTGAGGAGGCTGAGGCAGGAGGATCGCTGTGGGTTTGAGGCACATAGTGAGACTGTGTCTCCAAAAGAAGAAAGAAAAGTACAAAGAAACGTTTAATTAGATGCGGTGGCCTTACAAGAGTACAGAATTTGCGCACAAATTCAGGCCAAAGGGAGCTTCCCTAAGGTGAAAGACTCGGTGAAGCCCTGCTCTATAATCTGTCATAATGACAAGCAGGCTTTTCACAGCAAGGCCCTGCTAAGCACTGAGATTTTTTCATATTTTTGCACCCCAGCCACCATTCCAGACAGGTGGAATTACGACTTCTGCAATAGAAAGAAAGAACATTTTACTGCAGCAGTGAGTCCTGTGGGGATTATTCAATATACCTTGCTGAGCAGAAAGAAAGACAGAAAAATGGTCTTATTTATATTATTTGAAATGAACAGAGAAAAAAATATCTATCGGGTGATATCAAAACACGTCTTTATAGGAGAACTGAAGGAAGGTGGTGTCCTAGAAAGCAACACAGCACAGAACAAAGGACCCAGGCTGTGGCATCTCCCGGTCCTCGGTCCCTGTCGGTCTCTGGGTCTTGTTGAGTGCAAGACCCTGGGGAAATCATTAGGCTTTCTTATATCCTCAGCTGTAAAACAGGAAACATGGCACCTGCCTCTCAGGATGGAGCGAAAAAAAATAAATGGGCCCAACACGAAGCGTATCTGTAATAAAGGCTGGGACAGAGGAAGTAGCCAAGACTGTGCGGCAGCTTCGCCCACCGAATGCTACTGTTTGACCTCGGGATAAAACATAGTTCTTATTCTCTAGTGCAGGGCCTCATGGAAGGGTCAGAAAGGAAAACAAAAAGTCCAGAAATGACGTGGCAAACCCCATGGCAGAAGCCTCCCTGGAGGAAGTGACCTTCGGTGCAGCCCAGATGAGTAGAGATTCTCCAGGCTGGGGGACAGTGTGAACAGAGCTTATGAAATGCAAACCCCTGAAAAAAGTGCAAATGGGAACAGAGCACAAAAACAGGAGAGAGAAGGAGTATTTTGAAAGCAAGATGTATTTTGCTGAAAATCTGTTGTCTTTGTATTGGTGGAGGAGCTATGGCATGGACCAAACTGCTGGCATGGACCACTGCTCTAACCTGATCCCACAATTCCTTGGGAGAAAAGCAGAAGAAATCAGAGGGTCGAGACTGGAGACAGACTGGCTCGTGACGCAGGCCTGGCCCAAAGCTTGGGCCTGGGAGTGGGAGGGGTGGGGCTGGAATCTGGGGTGCAGCCAGAGAGGAGCCACAGAGCTTGCTGGCGGCAGCATGCTGGCTGCTGAAGAGAAAAGACTACCACTACAGGTGCTGTGCTTGGGATGATTAGTCTGATGGCAGAGCAGGGGCAGCTTGAGGGTAAGATGCTGAGTTTGTGAAGTCTCCAGGAATCATGCAAGTGCAAATGTTCAGCACCTGGTTGTGTGTCTGGAGCCCTAGAAGATGAGATGAAGAGAAAGAGTAAATCCATACAAATCGTTTTAATAAGAATAATGCCTGCTATTCGTGGAGTAATTGGTATGGATTCATCACCATTTCAAAAACTCTAATATGTTACTTTATGGAACTGTTGCCAAGAACTTCTCATTTAAAACAGCAGCTTCACAAAAGCTAAACCCTTACACGTACCAGGCGCAAGTGTGGAAGGTCAGCAAGGAGTCATTTAGCCTCCAGAAGCAGAGATCCAAACTCGAGTTGTGCGATTTGTCGGTTCCTACCTTTGAAACGTCCAGAAATAGGGTAGGTTCAGTTAAAGTTTGGCTGTGAAATTCCACAGCATCCTCTAAGAACTCACTTCCATTTCCAGCCTGCCCTACCTCTCCTGGGTCAGTCAATTGAGTAGTATAAATCAAGATTCACAGTCAGTTAATTTCATCAGGAGAAGAAGACACATGAATTCCCTCCACGTGGAGTTCCTGTGGTCCTGGTAAAGCCCTGTACACCTGTCACGGACTCGGGAAGGAGGGTGGGGTTGTGCTGTTCACTGGAAGCCTGCAGTGGCCTCTTTCTCTACGTAGAGGGCTGTCACCCTTCTTTAAACTCTAGGGTTGGAAAGAGTGTTCTTTTGATTAAGAAAAATATTGAAAAAAATAAGAATATTCACTAACCAGACTATTTGTTAAATAGACTTGAAGGGGGATCTTGGGCGGGACTGTATTGAAAGGACCAGCTAAAGCAAAGACTTGACTACATGAGGAAGTAAGAGGAAAATAAGATCATTATTACAATGACAAGGCTTTAGCTGATACTTGCAGTGAGTTTCTCATCCACTGCAAACAGCCCAAACACATTTTTCTTTTACAGAAGGAGACGTGAAGAGCAGAAGCCAGGAGTGTTGGGTGGTGTCTGCTGCGGAGGTTTCAGGACATTTATGCTGAAGAGGAAACCTCTGTGATGCACTAGGCTGGGCGGGCTGGCCTCCTCCGCTCTCAGGCTAACAAGGGCAAAATACTTCATCTGCATGGGCACTCTTCAAGCAAGCAGTGTCACAGACCTGGGACACTGCGCAAACCCAGACCACGACCCAGAAATGGGATTGGTCACTGCAAGGAGAGGAGAGAGGAAGAAGAGAAATTCCAGGACCTGACAGAAATGAGTTTGAATCTGACTTCGGATGCCTGCTGGTGACGGACCAGGCTGCTTCAGCCCATTGAGGCTCATTTTCCTGACAGTGATTTAGGTAGGTGACAGTCACCCTGAAGAGTGCTCCGTGTTGAGTAGGGTGGTGTCTGGTTACCCAGTAGGGCACAGGCAAGGGCAGCATGGTGATGGAGCCCTTTTGGATGCAGCACATCTGTGATTACTAATTACTGTTGTCAGTTTCCCCTGAGACATGGAGACAGCACAGTACATGGGGCATAACCAGGGGTTAGGCACTCAGGACCTGGATCCCAGGGAGTCCGGAGCTCCAGCTGTGTCCAGAGTCACAGCTGCTCTGGGGAGGCCTGTGGGCTGGAACAAAGACTTTCTCTGTGTGTCAGTTTCCTCCTTAGCAGCTGAGGATGATGATAGCATGTTCTCAAAAGGTTGCTAGGAGAATTCAAAACCAGCCTTAGACCTGCCCCATAGACGGTGGTGATCCGAGCTTGGGGTCTCCTTAGCTGAAACAAGGAACAGAGGACATCCGGTGTTTCCCTCCCCAGGGCCATTCCAGAGCCCAAGCTTTAAATCCAGATGAAGTGGCTGCCTGGTGGGTCTCCGAGGACCTCTGTCCACAGCGCTGGATGTGCATGGTGGGCAGGACAGGACCTGAAAGGTCACCTGAGAGGTCTGCTGTGACATGGTGCTCACAGCCCCTGGTCCACTGCACACACCTGGAATTCCACGTCTCCCCGACACTTTCACATGGTAGTGACCCGTCCTGGGCTCGGGCCATTCACGTTTGCTGAGTTTGTTCAGAAATGTGGACCTTTTTCCTATGATCTCATTCTCCTTTCAGTTCTGTAATGATTTTATTCTGGAACCTTTGCACCTGTTTGAATATCATAAAGGAGAGAAGGCGAAAGAAGGCAGAGAGAGAGGGAGAGAGAAAGGAAGGAAGAAGGGGGAGGGAAGAGAGAAAAGGGGGGAGGAGAGAGAGAGGGAGAGAGAGGAGGGGAGGGAGAGAAGGAGAGATTAGTAAAACATTTGAGAGTACACATCAGATCACTGCAGCTCTGGGAGAACAGGGCGTTAGCAAGCAGTAATACATTTCTTTTCATCTCTAAATGTCAGATATTGGTGTTGTTTAAAATCCACGCACGAAGGGTTTTTACAGAGTTTCAGTCACCCTTTAACCACCGGCTGGTTTCTTCTGGCCCCTCTCCCTCTGTGCTGGTTGTCTGTAACTCCTTCCCTCATTCCCGTCTTTCACTCTCCGAAGCAGTTTCCCTGTGTGCTGCTTCTCGGACTTCTGTCCACGCATAAACCTGCATTCTGTCTTGTCTGATGCAGCTCACTCACCAAGGCGCTGATGGAGCAAGGTCTTATTCCGTGCCGAGCAGAGCAGCACTTACGGTAGTGCTGACTGTGTCACAGGTGCTCAGTAAACACACCATTTTGCATCCACAGAGGTGGTAATTAACATTCTTGTGATCTTCCCTGGGGAGAGGCCTGGCCAGGGGCAGGAGATGGTAACTTTAGTCATGTTGCACAGACTGACTCTTGTTTCTCTTCTGTGAAAGAAAGGATAAAATCAATACCCATCTCCAATACGTACATGTGTAAATACATAAAAATCTATATCCCTAAATCCTTTATATATCTCTCTATATTTTCAGGAAAAATATATATGCCAGAAAATGTATGCACACTTCAGGAAGAGAGAAATAAGATGCTGTCTTGCCAACAGACAGTGTTACCCTCGTATGAGGATCCTAGGGGATGTCGTATATTGCAGAAAACCCACCGCACTGCCAGCCGTTGGAGAAGAAACTGAAAATGCACTTGCAGGAATCTCAGTGACCCAGTCATCTGAGCAGCCGTTCACCTTATTAATACATGGCTGGAAGCTGAAGGCCACTACTTCAAGCACCCTTGTCCCCGCAGAGGCCAGAGGTAACTTGTGTTTGTCTTGTGATGTCTCCATTGATTTGCATCTTTCCTGCTCACAATATTGTATTTAATTCCCTACAAGATGACAGCTTGCCAGGTTCTGACCAAATTCTTTGAAACAACTTGGTGGATGGGTGTTGGAGCTGAGTCATGAGTTAAGCAGATAGATGGTCATCTAGGGTGGAGGAATCACACACCAATTATCATTCCACTTCTAACAACTGCCACTTGTTACGTACTGGCTGTGCATCAGAACTTGGGCTGCATGCTTTGCGTGTATTATCTCATTTAAACTGCATGAACAAAGTAGCTCTTACAGGGTGTGTTTTATGCAGGAAGAAACTGAATCTTAAAGAGGTCGAGCCACTCACGCAAAGACACAGAACCACTCAGTCATGGGATCAGGCTCTGTGCTCCTGGTTCTGCCCAGCCAATGCACTGTAGAATGCAGAAAGTCTGATTCCAGTAACTTTCTGTCACACAGAAGTGAATGCAAATTTTAAAAGCCTAATCTTGCATTTTCAATCTCAAGTGAGTGTCACAGCGGGTTTGTCTAGTGCTTATGACTTAATTCTTCAGTATGCACATGCGTATATCTGTCGTATCTTTTGTTTCTGATCCAAAGTAATTATTTAAATGAAGCACTACATCTATGATTTTTATAACATTAATTTATTTATTCTTCTGCAGATGGACAACAAAGTCCTCCCACCAACCTACAACTTTTTGTATAAAGAAGCAATCTAGAACTACCACTTTCGGTCAAGTCTGAGCAGAGTGTGGGTTTATGACACTCCCCGGCTGACAGTACCCTCATTCATTCTGAAGCTGTAGCAAAATCACAAGCCTGTCCTTACATGCCCGTCAATAGGCACATTCGCTAATGAAAGATGCAGTCATCTCATAAATAAATGTGTGACCGTGGAGATAGTTTACATATTTACCCTGCCAGGATTCCACAGTCAGGGTTGGCTTTCAGGAGGAAGCTGGGAGGGGAAGAATGGCTCCTTCTGATTTCTGTAGTTCCTGGGAGCCATCCAGGGAGAGAAACTTGTCAAAGAGTTGGACAATTCCCTACTCCTGTATTTCATGAGCAGCAGAAGTAAAGTGGAAGAAGGTCAGCCTTCTGGATCATGGTAGCCTTCACAGTCTTGCAGTCAAACTAATGTGATAAGAACTTCTTCTGGGCTCCTCAGGAGAATCATGTGGAGGAACTGATGTAGAAGAAAGCAATGGGTCCTGAGGCAGAGTGACAGAACGGAGGTGGTGTCTCTGGATATCCCCGTTAGCTTAATTAGTGGGGCTGAGGGTAGATGAAGAGTCTATGCCCTACAGGTGAGGGCATCCTGGTTGGGTCTGGCTTTATTATCCTGGTTTAGCTCTTGGACACATAGGGAGTGGGCTGTCCACTCAACCCCACTTGACTTCGTCTCTTTTCTGTGGTTTCTTTCTCCTGGATTGACCTTGAGAATAAAGTGACATAGTGTTATGGTTTATGTCTGGACACCCCCCAAGGCCCCATGTATTCATGGGTGGGGTTTTGAAGGAGGTGACGTTACGGGAGGGGTCTGGACCCCAGGCTGTGGCTTGCTAGGGGATCTCTTCCTGCCTTGTTCTTCCTTTTGCACTCTGCTTCCAGCCACCTGATCAGCTTTCTTCTGGCAGATCCTGCCACCGTGCCTTCCTGAGCCAAAGTCATCCTCTCCTCTGTTAGGTTGTGTCAGCTAATTTGTCCCAGTCATGAGACAGTGACTGAGATACTTAGTATACCCCTCGCTGAGCCTCCAGTTCGCCAGGAAGATAGGAGGTGAGGTCAACTACTAGGAAGTTTTTCTACAAGACGATTCATGTCCCCAAATCACTGAGAATGTCTGCTGCTTCTCTTCTCCCCTCTCCTCATTCTCCTTCCCCTCTTTCTTCTTTCTCCTCCTCCTTCCCCTTCTCCTAAGTAAATCATGCTATTTCTCCCTTCACACTCAAAAGTAGATCTTCATCACTCCTAACTGCAAAGATGCAGCTACAGCCCATGCCTCTGACTATGCCCTTTGGTACAGGTTACGGTGATATCTGTTCCTAGATAAAATAATCATTAACAAAAGCCAAAGTCCAAAAATGAGCCTTCAACTGAAGGAAAAAGTAGCTTGATTGTATATAAACTGTTAAGGGAACATTTTAAATATTAGTGAAGTAAATGTGTAAATGGTGAATTTATGAACAATACCAGTTACTGAGATCACTTACTGAATTTTTACTTACTACCTCCCAGCTACGCCAGCTTCTAGATTAGCTGGTATCTTAATCACTGTACAACCTTCCTCTTATTTAGACTTGACAAGTACCTTTCTTGGTGTTATTCCATTTTACAGACCAGGGCACAAGGTCTTGCATTTTTTATAATTTTCTCCAAATTTGTAGAGTGGAAAAGAACTTTAAAAAAGACCTCTAAAAGTTGCCAAAAAATCATACCATGTCCATTATGATATTCTGCCTTCTTAAAACCAGATATTCAGTTCTCTATTATGAGGTAACAAGTTGATTCCTGATCTCTTTCCCCTGGATGGCGATACAGTTGGTAAACAGTTGAATAAGCTTTTGAGCCTCCCTGTATCAGGCTCACATGCAATTCTTGCAATTCTTTACCTTAGTAAGCACTTCAGTGGATACTAACCACTCACTTGGAAGTCCACTCGATGTATCATCAAACCCTAAGCAGGGCCATCAAGGGCAGGGGTAAAATTAAAAAGTGCTACAGATCAAATAAAAGAAGTTCACACTCCATGGAAAAGAACAACCAGACAAAAATCTTTACGTGGAAATCACACCCATAGATCTCTTCAAGAATAGATGCTAGAAAATCCGCAAAATTATTCTTAGCACTCCCGTGATCTCTGTATGCATTAGGTATAATTTAATTCAGATTTCCATGAAGATGACATGCTGACTCAAAGTAAGCTGAGATTACTTTTGCAACAAATATTCAATGCAAAATTTATAGATTCTGAAGTCATTCAAAATTACATTGGATTCTGAATCCAACAGTTAGTAAATGTATGTCTTTTGTCTTGACATTGGAAAAAGGGCTTAGCATTTATAATCATCCATATCCTTTACTTATAAAACAGGACTTACATTTAATTTTGCATATTTTATATTTAAATAAGGAGCAAAATAAGCCATGATGTATGTATGTAAAATGTCAGAAACCTTTCTTCCTTTTTTTTGAAGCCTATTCAAAATCCTATTTTAATGCTTTTTAACCCCGAAACTAATAAGAAATTCTTTCCCTTTTGCTTTAGCAAACCAATACTATTTTAGACCATGCTGGTGAACTTCTCCTGTCTCATCAGAAAACAGTGGGATTTGCTCGGGATTATTAGCAAAGGACCTTGGCCTTCATGCCTTCTTGCCCTCTCCACTGGGTATTTTCTTTAAATATTCTACTTGATAACTGTAAAAATCTGCTGCCATTCCTTTGTTTTAATATTAAATAATGTTCTCTGCTGTCCTAATAAGCGGACTTTGAAACTTACCTCTTAATAGTTTTAGTCAACAGCTGTCTTCACATTTGGTAGGTTTGTGTAGCAAGGTACCCAAAGGTTTATTTCTGAGTTACAGTGGATTTGTTCTGGCATTTCTGCACGTGTCAAGTCCGGTTTACAAGGAATATATGATGAGGGTAAATAACAATCTTGACCTTTAGTCATAAGCTTTCAAAAATACATTTTTTTTTCCTCTAGAAAAGTGGGTGTTAAATATTATCTATGAATGAAAGGAACCTCTGAAGTCCATCTAATTTAACTTAGATTTTGGAGTCTCTACTTGTGAGTCAAGTGTAAGATAGTAGAAGCACATCAAAGAACAAAATAGAGGAGCTCACAGTATAGAGGATGCATCCTAACATTTAGATGTTATGTGGAATTTTATTAGGCATGCTAGCTGAGAGAACTCTGCAGGCAAGACTGATTCCATTATCAGCAAAGCAAGTTGTGGGAAGTTCTCTGAGTCATCCTTGCTGTATCCACTGAGTGAAAAAGTGCTGTTATGGTTTGTGTCTAGCTGTTTTCCCAACACCTCATGCAGTCATAGACCACCAGAGGTGGCCGAATCCAGAGTGTGTGATTGATTCATGGTGCAATGCTGGGCTTAAGCATGCTGGGCTAAGGGTGCGTGATTGCTGGATCAGTCCACTGGTTAGACTGGCACCACCCCAATCCCAGTAGATTGGGTACAATATGAAGGACAGGGAGAGGCTTGTCTCTCCCTCCACCCTTGTTTCTTTGGCTGTCTTCCACCACCTTCCTTTTCCATGGGCTTCCCTGCTTCGGAACCAGCAGATTGTGGACTGAAACCTCCACAAACTATGAGCTAAATAAAACCTTTCCCCCTTGAACTTTACCTGCTGCATACACTATTTTGTGTCAGCAACTAAAGAAAGAAAAGTAACTATGACAAACATCATTACGCTCCAGTTACTAATGTATGTGAGCCACCGTTCCTATTCAGACACTTCCCTGTTTCAGATGAAAACCAAATGAGGAGGTATCTACTTGATGCTGAATCATGCCTCTTCTTGGATTTTAGAACACAGGGAAGAAGACAGTGATCCAGTCGACTGCTGAATGATGAAGAGGGAGACCAAATCAACGCGCTGTGCTCAGTCACCTGCAGCACACCTTCCCTTTTATTTTGGAAGTCCCATCTTTTCAAATTTTCCCTTTATTTCCTTTGGTAATATTCAGTTTTCTCAAAGCCTCTCTTGCTTTCCCATTGCAGCTGCTCAGTGGGAGCTGGAGAACTATTTCACCTGGCAGGGACTTTGAATGCAATATTGAATTGGAACTGCTCATTCAGCTTCTGAGGCAGGGGAGTACTGGGGGAAGACCTTGTTGGAGGGACATGTGCTTGGAAGGTGGCAGCATCTACATCTTTACAAGGGTGTGAGACATACACAGCAGAGAAAAAGTTATGAAGGATGGCACTGGAGGCCTCAGTAGGAAAGTGAAGAGTGTGCTGGGGTTTCTTTGGGTTGCAGGTACATTTCTACCTTTTTCCACATTAACATCTCTGATATAGGAAGATGCCACTTCCTGGTGTAGCCACTGACTTTCCCGATTCTGTTAACTTCTCAGTAAAATTGTTGATCCATCATTGCCATGCTGGCAGACAGCATGGACTTGGCCTGGAAAGTGTCCTCACAGGAGTGAAGAGGGTGTGAGGCCTCAGAGTGCTACAGAAGGAAGGGGTGGAGATGCAGAGCGTAGCTAAAAACTGGAGCGATGGGTTGAGGCCTTGCTTCATAAGCAGCAAAACATTGAAAGCAAACCTTCCTTTTCCATGGGTGGTTTGAAGTGTCCTGTGGAGCCCCCGTAAACAGTCTGCTCCACGCTGCTTTGAAATCCAAGACTAACGAGAGGCACGTGGGTGACGTGGTTTCCCCACAAAATATCACTCAAGTGCCCAGTGCTGGGGACACTTCGGGAGCCACAGACTTCCATGGTTTAAACTTGGACTTCATGATGTGAGGACAGTGCCTTCGCTGGTATTCCCCTGTGACAAGTTGTTTACGTGTTTGGGTGTTCGGTGGGTTGAATATTAACAATTAGGCAGTAATCTTTAATATAAGCCACTTAAGTCTGAAAGTCAAATTGGGTTGCGATTTTCTGCTGAGACCATTACAACAAAAATGTGCTGCCTAATCAGAATATAGGTGCACCTCAGAGATACCTTGTGTGAGCTCCGAACTTGTGCCATGAAGTATGAATCTACTGGTTTCTCTATAACTATAAAAGCTGTATTTATATGACACCAAGGGCTGTAACTTGTGTCACACATTACGTTTAAAAAGGTGTAAACCTCAATTTGAAGCACTTCATTAATAAAAATGCCAGTGGTCTCCCAGGCCTTCCTGAGTCACAAGTGGCTGCCTGCTGGCACATCTGGTCTCCTGATCAGGGTCCTGCTGCTGGAGGCTGGGTGACTACAGGAATAACAGCACCAGTGTGGAAATCAGTATGATGTTTCTCAGAGAACTAAAGTGAGAAATCCCATTTTGACCCAGCTATTCTCCTTCTAGCTATCTTCCCCAAAATGTTAAATGCATCACGTTATGGTGCTGTGTACATATCTGTGCTTATAGCAGTGCAATTCATAATAGCCCAATCCCGGAGCCACCTGTATGTCCACTGACAGATGAATGAAGAAAATGTGGAATCCACACGGATGGAATACTACTTGGCCATAAAGAAGGATCATTTGGAGATGGTGCAGGAAAATGAACTCACCTGGAAAGTATGATGCTGAGTGAAGTGAATCAGACACACAGGCTCCGATACCACGTGCTAGCTCTCACTGGGACAGGTAGGTAAATAAAGAGCAAAACAAAGGCTTGATGGGAAGGAACAGGGCAGTAAATCTTTTGCAAAGAAATGGGAAGGAAGCCCAAGAGACTGAGGATAAGGAAAGGAGGAGAAGTAAAAAGATGTGAGATGTGTTGTACACACACACCAAATACCTACGTAAGTGTAGACATTATGTGCTGTACATAGGAACTAAACTTAACAGTACTAGCAATGATAGCGATTTAGAGATGGAAGGAGGGAGGTGGCTGGGGAGGGGAAGAGGAATGAAAAAGAGGTAAGGACCTGCACCTGCTCCCTAAGATGAATGTAGACGTCCCGTCCTACAGAAACGAATTCTAAACAATAAGATAATGAAGTTCACCACCTAGAAAGAAGCCTTCACGCGAGGTTTCTCAGTTGTGTACAGAGACGTTTGCTAGTGCTTTGTCCCCAGGAGAACTCCATTCACTCCATCCTGTCAAAGGCGGCTCCCTGTTCAGTGGTGACAGTCTGAATTCTTGGCAGCAACTGCATCTCTAGCAGATTTCATCCAAGAACCCGCCTTTCCCTCCAGCCAAAATCAGCAAGATGCACTTAGCGCTGACCAGGAAATTTCGGTGCCTCAGTTACATTCTAGGCCTTACTTTAATTCTGTTTGTTATTTCTACCACGTTTGGATTTTTGTCTTCCTCCACTGATGTCCTGAGTCCTGCACGATCACCCATTAGTTGGAATCAGCCCTCTCGGTTTCCTGATGATGCTGGTATTTCTCTCCCACTCGTGTTCTTCATGGTGCCTCGAATGGTGAATTCCTCCCACGAGGTTTTCAGTTTCTTTCCCCAGGCCCATCCACGGAATCCTGGTTAGGGCAGCAGCTATAGCCATGTGAATGAACTTTCAAACTGTAAGAACTGAAAGTTGAAATTACTCCCAACATTATCCACGGGCTGCAGGATGAACGATGAATTTGCAGGCAGAAAATACCCAACTCAAACTTTCCCGGCAGAGACCAGGTTCATTATTAATGAGTAGAAATATTTTCTTCTGAGCAATGGATCTCAACAGGGGTCTTAAGATATGTGATAAATCATGCCTAAATAGATGTGTGGCCTCTTTCACATTCTATTCATAAAGCCAATGTGGAATAGATTCAGCATGATTCCTAAAGGCCTAGGAATTGGAGTGAACACTGGGCTTCAGCTTAAAGCCTCCAGCTGCCTGGGCCCCTAGTGAGAGTCGGCCTCCCCTTGAAGCTGGGAAGACAGGCACTGCCTTTCCTCTTGGGTGAGGAAAGGCCTAGGTGGCTTTTCCTCTACTAGAAGGCTTTCTGTCCACCTTGAAAAGCTGTCAGCTAGGGTCACTGTCTTCATCAGTGATCTTTGCTCCACGTTTGGGACAACTTGACCTAGCCTAGACAGTACGCGCTGCTTCTCCCTGTGTGTTTATATTCTGCAGATTCCCTGATTCCTTGGAACACACTCTGCTACTCCCAGTGCTTTCCTGCAGCTTCCTCACCTCTCGTAGCCTTTACAGAACCTAAGAAGAGCAGATCTTAGATTAAGGGAATGTGGCAACTGATTTGATCTTTTACCCAGAACACAAAAGCTATCTCTACACCGGCAGTCAGGCTATTTTTATTTATAATGGTTGTGAGGATAGCACTGTGAATGCCCTTCAAGGACTTTTCCTCAGCATTCATGATTTAGCTGACTTGCACAAGAGGCATAGCTGCTCAGCCACCTCGGCTTGGGAGACCCTCCTCAGTTTCCTCAGTTTCCTCATTCCTACCTTAGGGTGTCAATGGGGGGACACACACAAGACTTCCGTCACGCGAACACATAGGCATCATTGTCATTGTGAGCTTGCTAGTTGACCCTCAGTGTTATATCTCAGGAATGACGAGGTCTGAAGAGAGGGAGAGAGATGAAACAGTCAGAACTCAAAAATTCACCTCGTCTGTGGTCTTAAGCGGGTGTAACTGTGCACCTGGGAACAATTACAATGGTAATCAAAGACCGCCAGTCATAAATCACGCTCACAGACAGAACAATAACTGCAAAGTTTAAAATAGTGCAAGAATAATCAAAACATGACACAGACCCAAAATGAACACACGCTGTTACAAAACTGGTTTACGTGATGAAAAGTCAGCACAAATATTCGATTTGTCAAGACAAAACAAGCAGTGTCTCCTAAGAACCATAAAAGGGAGCACAATAAAACAAAGTGTGCCTGATAAACATAATGAAAATGTAATCAAACAAAGTGTGCCTGATAAAAATAATGAAAATACCGTGAAACCAAGTGAGCCTAAAAATAATAAAAAGCCTTCACAAAGGAGAAAAAGCATAAAGATCTATTTGCCCAGGAATACTGGTCACATCAAAACCTGCACTTAAAGGAGACATTTTGATAACCAGGAACAGACTGATGGAAGTGTGCTCTTCACGTCTTTATTTATAACTGAAAGCAAACTCCAGCCATCGGCACTCTCAGCCCTGACATAAATCCATGAAGAGACTTTAAAAGGGACCGTGGTTTTCCAACAAAACCAGTAATCAAAGGGTCACTGTTTATCCAGATGTCCAAAAGTGCCGGGCTGCAGGTGAGTCTGTGTGAAGGCCCTATGGATAATGATAGCCTTCTACTGATTTTGTTTTTTATTATTCTCTTGTGTTTATAATTGCTGCTGTTTACTGGGCGTACAAAGCAGGCCAGCAGTAGGGAACCTTTTAGCACTTTGAGTGATAACAAACAGCTGGCCACAGCATACTTGCCAGAGGTTCGCCACCACCCTTCTGCCTCTGACATCTGTGACCAGAACCCTAAAGATCACTTAAAAATGTCAAGGATGATTGCAGTGTTTAAAAGCAGCGCACATGAGCAGCAAAAGAGGCAGCTCCTTGCAGGAGATGAGGCTGAGGGGCAGGGAGGGTTGCACTGTGCTGGGGCAGCTTGACGAGATCTTGGATGGCAGAGGTCATGACGAGGAAGACAACTGAGGAGGGAGGACAAGCCAGCAAAACAGGGACCCTGTCCCCCAGGGCTTGCTGGAGGTGACAGTTTCACCACCCTTCTCCTGTTTGTCTGATTTCACTGAAGCTCTGGGTACAAGGAAAGCAATCCCTGAAATGATGGAGAGGAGAAGATACAGTTGAAGGCCATAGATACTCCTTTAATCCTTCATAAATCCATTTTCTGAGTCAAGGCGAATCTTACCTTCAGGAATGCACCACCATAAGCCTCTCAAATTAGGTCACAGAGTGGATATGATTTCTTTCCATTTCACAGATTAGGACAGATTAGGATGCAGTTTGAGACTCGAAGCCTAGTAATAACCTTGCAAGTGTGTTCCTGGAGTCCCGGTGGAACTTGAAGGGAAATAGGTGGTCAGACATGGCTCACTGAGGGCGAGGCAGGACTTGAGCACAGGGCTCTGGACCCGCCCTTTGCTCCTTCCCCTCCCCTGCCTACTGACTTCGGCGGTGGCTGGCTTTCAGCCGGCACCTGCCCTTCCTCAGGACAGGGACATCTCCGAGGCTTGGGCTGCACTTTACAGAGTTCATTGCACTAATTAAAAATGCTGAGGTGGTCAATTTTTATCACTTCTCTCCTGCTCAGTAATGTTTAACCTTCACTTGGGGAAAAAAAAGTCTGGGTGATAAAAGAGCAAGACATCTGCCCAGTCCTTTCCACCCCCGTGGCTGTTGCTTCCAGAGCACGACTGATCTGCTTCTCTTTAGTGGATGCTTCAGGAGAGGAGCAGGTGGCTCTTGGCCAGGGACACATCACAAGTCTTCATCTCTTGGTACCAACCCCACTCCCAGCTGTGTTCCGCAGTGCACACTGAGCATCTCCCTGCAGTGTAACTTGGTGTCTGAAGATTGCACAGTGGTCCCCGCCCTCCAGAGGAGCTGGAGGCTCCAGCTCAGTGAAGCTCTTACTGTCTGGAGCTTTGCTCTGGGAAACACCTTGCAGGGACCTGGCTGAGAGCCACTGCCCAGTATTGCGCTCACCATGGAGGTGAAGAACTTCTCAGCTTGGGACTATGTTGTCTTTGCAGCTCTCTTCGTGATTTCCTCTGGAATTGGAGTGTTCTTTGCCATCAAGGAGAGGAAAAAGGCCACATCCAATGAGTTCCTGGTTGGGGGAAGACAAATGACCTGCGGGCCTGTGGCCTTGTCCCTGACAGCCAGTTTCATGTCAGCTGTCACCGTCTTGGGGACCCCTGCGGAGGTCTACCGCTTTGGGGCCTCCTTCATCCTCTTCTTCATCGCCTATGGGCTTGTTATTGTCTTCACATCGGAGCTCTTTCTCCCTGTGTTCTACAGATCTGGCATCACCAGCACCTACGAGGTAAGAGAGCAGCTCCCATTTTCTCCTTTTTAGCAGGAAGTATGGCTTTCTCTCCACTTGAAGGTATCGTTATATTTTCTGGTCCTCTAGAATTTACATCATCTTGATAACACAGCCTTGTGGGCAAAGAAAACTCACCAACCCACTGATCTTTCAAGACAATTACACATGATTAAAAAAAGGCATATAATACTTTGAGGGAAAAGCCTAAAATTTGTGTATGGACACACTTGCCTTCTTCATTGTAGGTTGAAAATCATGAGGTCAGTTCTACAGGGTGAGTTCCAAGATCCAATGAGACTCTAATGCATAGTCCAGATTATGGGATGTGCTCAGGAAAAGAGTGCTTACGTTCTTTTTAATGAGCATTATTTTTCTGAAAAGCATGCAGAACACATTCCACAGTTCTGGTACTTGCCACTGAAATAGTCTTTCAGCTGAGAAACTGAGACACAGGTGATCCAGACAGGACTGTTCTATCGAAAACGTGTTTCATCTGTATTCTTCATGAGTGACACTTTGAGAGACACTAGAGCTTTAATACAAATTATTACTAACCTGGAAACTTTTATTGGGAAATGGCAATATTTTTGAAAATTAGGGAAATGTTTTAATAAGGGTGAATCCCCAAATATTTCAAATATAAAAATTAATGGCAGCAAAGTGGAGATCAGGCTTTGTAATAATTGTCAATAAAAATCAATCAACATTGAGATTACATGTCTAACATTTCAGTCTCCAACACCATCCCCACTGAGTCACAGCAGAAGATTCATAGAGGAATTTTTTTTTAATTGTGTAGTTGAGAATAAAATGTTACGCTACCTTTCAGAAGCCGTTCAGTCAACTGAAGGTATGTAGATTATCATCTCCCAGATAGCCAACATTAATTCCCTCCGTGGCCAAAAGAAGGTAACAGAGTTAGGCCAGTCAAGAGTTTTTATTTTGGATATAGAATCGAGAGAAAAAAAAACCTAAATGTATGTGTGGCCCTAAAAATGTACACATATCCTGTGGTGTACTGTTACACTAATGAAAATATAAAAATGTCTGGGTTTTCCATTCAATGATGAAGGCTTTTCTTTTTTCATAAAGGAATTGTTAAATTTTCTGCATTTTTGTTTGCATTTTTGAAAGGGTTGCCTGCATAACCACTGCAGACAGAGACAAAGCGATGGGAGCAGAAAATGGCCCAAAACAATTCGAGCTCGGTTCTTTATCGCCGATAACATCACGTCATGGGAAGTTATCCAGCATTCCCCAGCTCTGGCTTGGAAAATAGTTCTGCATCTTTCTGCTCATTTCACAGATGTCCAGTCCACTGTGTCTCGTCCGTGTGCTAGCCTGTGCTGGGCCACAGATGCCCAGCACTGAGCCAAGGTCCTTGCCTTGGTGGAGATTATTCATAAATACTTTGAGTAATCATAACACAAACTTACATGTGGTTTAACTGTGGTAGACACTGATTTGAGGATTTTACACACGTTGACTCATTTGGTAGTGAACAGTCTTTCTGACTAGGTATCAATACCATTCTTCCTATTTGAAAAATGGGAAAACAGACACAACAAGCTAAGCACCTGGTCAGTGTCACAGAGCTATCAAGCTACAGAGCCCAGGAAAACTGATCTGCTGAGCCATGGTGCCGTCCTGCGTTACCTAAGACTGCACAGAAAACAAGGCGGATGAGGTGGAGGGCCGCATGTAGGCTTGGATGGAGACTACCTGCCATCCACAGAGCGCGGCCAAGCACGTCTCCCTCGGCAGTGGAGCAGCCAGGGAAGACGAGAAGGAAGGCAGGGATGGAACCAGAGGAGGAGGAACCACGGTGGGGGTGGGGGTGCCGGGCAGCAATAAGAAATCATCACGCTTAGCAAGGACGAGAAGGAGAGGGTGGTAGAGCTGGGATGACCGAGGGTGGGGTGGCCACGCTGAGCAGGGCCTTGCGGGCAGGTGCCAGCCTGAGCAGCTCGTGGATGTCTGTGGAGCAGTTTGGGCATCACAGTGATTGGGAGGCACTGCTGGAGTTGAATGCATGTGGAACAGGGGTGACAGGTGTCTTGGAACATAACAGACTCCCATGGGCAGTGAGGCACATACTGCTTTTGATGCCTGAACTCCCCAAACCTACTGAAAAGCAATGCCACCGTCTTCCTATAGCAGTGCCAAGGCAGCACCCCAGGGGATGCCTGAACTTTTGATGCCTGAACTCCCCAAACCTACTGAAAAGTATAAACCTGTGGAGCTTCCAAACAATTCATAAAAAACCCACTCATAGGCTAAATGAGTATGTTTTTTTTAATAGTTATTTAAAACTTCCTAGCTAGTGTATGTTTGCAATGCAGAATAATCACATTCATCTGTGGAACTGGTACATATGAACCTCAGTTAATCATCTGAGGGGCAAGGAAGACGTGGCGTGGACATTATTCAGTTTACGCAGAGATCTGTTTCTTTCTGCACTGCTGCCTAATGCATGCCTATGTGCAAACCAGATATCCTGATGAGATTCCGTGAATACTAACGAGAGTGGTAAAGGCTCAACTGAGGAGAACTCAGACTTTTCCTTAGTGATAATGCTGCTACAGATGGGAAATTCTTCATTGAATTTAACTTACAAAATTGTTTTAAAATATTTACCATTACTGCATTCTATGGGTTTTTAAATTTTCAGCTACCTAATATTAAGACTTCCAGATTGTGTAACACACACGTGGCTATTTGGGGGGAACTCGCTTTTTCTCTAGGGATGCCTTAGGGGGAAAATACGAAATAAGGGCTCATGTGTACTTCTTGCTGAGTAATAGTCCTTCTTAGCACTTGCTAGGTGCAGCATTTGGGGTGAAATTTCTTAACTTTCTCCGACCTTGGTTTTTGTATGTAAAATAGTAGTAAAAACAACTTCAAAGGAAGTCTGTAAGGAATACCAAGGTATAATAAGCAGATACCTTTAACCAGCCCTGACAAATGCTGCCAGAGTTTGTATTGTCCTTTGTGCAGGCATCACTGTCTGCCTGCATATGCATGCCATTCACTTTCTATCACATCAGGAAGCTTTGTTTCTCTGCGTATACCCCGTTGTCTCTGACGTATTCACAGTTGTGCTTCCCAGGGTCTTTGCAGGTGCTCTTCCCTGAAGGAGGTGGGGTCCATTTCTCTCCTCCTTGAACAGGATTATTTTGTGACATGCTTTAGCCATGAGACCGGGACATGAGGATGTGTGGTGGGTTTGGAGCATCCCCTGGGGTGCTGCCTTGGTACTGCTGTAGGAAGACAGTGGCATTGCTCATGTAGCTGCTGAAACATGACGGGCACAGAGGGGGAGCAGTGGCACTTCCCAGAGCCAGCACAGCATCCAGCTACTGGGGGCACCTTCTGGTTGGCTGCAGCTTCCAGAGCCCCGTAGTGAAATGAGACAGAGAGAGCCAGTCCTTGTGGGTGAGATGTGGTCATTCTTTGGCTTTGGAGCCTGCTTGTTTTGGGCAGGGGACGGTGCAGCAGTGGACAGCCAAGTGAGCATCTTGATGTGCAGTGGGATTTCAGGGCCAGGCCAGGCATCTGTGCAACTTCAGCATTCATCTGCCCTGTGTCAGAGCAGAAGGATGACGCTCAGCTTCATGCAGAGACTGGGCTGGGCTCAACTGCATATCATGCATTTTCACTGTCTCCATTTGGATTATTTGTAACTCATCTCCTTGTGTTATCTTCACTTTGGTTCAAATTACTCCAGAAATTTTTTTCTTATGCAGCTCCGATTGGAAAATAAAGTGAATGTTTGTATTTTTAAAAATAATTCTCACAGTGAAAGACACGTGGTGATCAGTTCCCTCAAACACTCACTTTCACTTGGGCACTCTTATGCCCCTGTTCATGGTACTGTCTGAAGCACTTCTGAAAGTTTTCTGTGCATCTTTAGCTTCACAGTTTTTGCTGCCCTTGATGTCCTAAGTAGATTCAAGACATTCACCTTTCACGGTCATTGCAACCATGGAAAGACTGGGAAGTTGTCCTGCCAGACCCAGTGAATAAGGTAGATAAGGACATAATGTGTTTGTTTGACAGAAACTGTCAAAAACAGTTCATCAGTAAGTTGGGCTCAAAAATATGGTTAACCTTTAAATAAGTTTATTTCAATAAAAGATACAATGCCATCAACAACGCTCCATTGCTTTGAACTCATTGCAATAACAATTTTTATTTTTTTAATTTAAGCATTCACTGTAGTTTTCCCTTGCTGCCTGTGTACTAATAATTCCTACACCTAGGACAACTTCACGGGCTGGGGTCCACCAGGTCTCTAGTTTTCTCAAGCTGCTTAGACTAGTTAGATTCTGCACCACTTACTTCTCAACCAGAATTTTTTATGATGGTAGTGCAAATGCTATGAATCAGTTGTGTTCTTATACAGTGGTTTCTAAGCTTTCACGTATGTGTTTCTGTATTTTCTTGGTAAATTGTTTTCCTTTTATTTATAATTGTTACCTATGGTATTCTGAGAATACGTAGTATTTAGATGTCAGACGTTTAGTTATAATATTGCTCAGTATTATTTCAGTACAGTAAATAGTGCTAGGAAACACCGGTGGTGAATTGAACATGTGGGGAAGGACAGGACCTGAATCAATACTACGATCAGTTACTGATATTTAGGTAATTGTAAGGATTGATGTTTTCTCTAGGTGAGAAGGGTCACTATAAAGTTTGGTAGAGGAGTGTCACCATGTGATTTATTTATTTGGTCTATTAGTCTAGCAAGCTGTTAAGGATGATCATGGGTTTTGGCTATTTTGAAGCAATGCAGCTGACTGGTAGTCTATTCCCTAGTTTAGGTAAGAGCTGATAACTGTGGTGATAGATGAGAAAAGGCAAGTGGTTATGCTTTGAAAGAGGAGAGTAGTACCAGGAGGTGGAGATGCAGAGCAAGAGAAGAGAGGCATAAAGACTGACTGTATCTGAGTTAGTCTCCAACTAACCTGAAGCATGGAGTTGCTTCCTCAGGT